ACATATATACAAACATATAACTACAAAAATTAACAAAACAGGTTAACAGCTAGACACAATAATAACATGTAGTCAAATATATAACTGTAAACATAAAGCAATATCAATTTACAGAAAACAGCAATTCAGAAATCAATATTTACCATATTTCTAGAAGCATACTCATATTTATGGTAAATAGATAATACGTAAGCTAACAGACAAATAAACAATTATTGATTGATTGAATAAAGGATAGAAATGTATCACAATGTCAGCTCTGTATTACAGCTTTAAAGAATTTGTCAGAATGCTTGTAATTATTCTGAGGAGTACAGATAATAATTATCAGTCTTGCTCTTGATATTATTGGGTAAATATTCATTCAAAATATATGATATATATTAAAGAAAGCATTAAAATTTCGTTCTATATGTGAGACAATCTTGTTGAAACGAAAGTTAACAAAGAGACCTCAACTAGAAATACATTTTCTATTGTACTTTTTTTAACAGATTATTAAAACCTGTTTCAATTTGATTACTGATTCTAATGTTTGTACAATACTTATCGGATAGTTTAATGTTAAATTGTATTGATATAAAAAACTCATCTTTGCCGAAAACATAGAGACCTCGAAATACAAGATCAGAAATATTTACTTTGTTCATTGTAGTGATATGAAGTATAATTTATTTGCATAAAGGTTTGGCTTACAACATAATGATTAACTTAAGTACGTATACAAACATATTACTATGAGTTAGTTTACAATATAGAACAATCTTATGCAAATGGAATGGGGAAAAACAACAAGCAGACAAACATATAAATAATAACGACGACTCATACGTGTGTGCACATACATAAATTGAAGGTAAAAGGCCGTAACAATATGATTGTTTCATTTCTTACGTCACTGAATAATTAAAGTATACATTGTACTCATACAATATACATTTGGTATCATTAGTTCTACACAATTGTGTCAATCCCGTGTGTTACCTATACTGAATGACATTCAGTTTCTTTCAATCACATATTTATAATGCATTATTTTAAACAAATAAAACTATTGATTATATTTAAAGACATCTTTAAACAGTAAATACATAACTCTAAGTGGGGTGAACTGCCCATCTCTCGCATTTTCTAGTGTAATAGTGGGGATTTCGTCAAGTTGGCACTCGCGTGTCAACATTATCCACCTAATATAGAAGTAAATTCCACGAGAATTTATGATATAGTTCCACATGGATGTACGCGGTGTAAGTAATTTCAGGCAAAGGTTCATAATATGATCAAGTAAATTTTCACTTAATATTGAGCACAATGGGCAAAGTTCAGTATATCTCCTGGCGGCTGTTTTCCATATAACTGACGCTACTACATAGCACATGGGACATAACTCTGGTGAACTTATGGTAATTGACCATAGTTCAGATGTATTACAAGGTGTTGGTAAGTAATTCACTGCGCCCGGTCTTTGGTGCAATAAAGCCTGTGTCCTACCTTGTTTCGATGCTATCAGTACTATGTAAAATGTTTTTCCAAACATTCTTTGACGGAATTTCACCAGTTCTTACGAAGTTGTTTAACACACTCAGGAGGTTATATTTTTGTAACAATTTGTTATCGATTCCATAGCTGACAGCCATAGAGAGCTCTAGGCAATATTATTGAAGAGTAAATTGTTTAAAAGTAATCGGAGACAAACCGTTAGGATGAAGACCACTGTTTGTAATACTAAAATAGGTACCACGTAATTTTACACTTGCGTCTTCTATTGATTTTTTTAGTTGCAAAAATCTATTACATTCAATTCCAAGATGAGTATAGTTGTCTCCCTCATGGATCGTTTGTGTACCAAGTGTCCATATTCTTTGGAGATTTTCCGAGTTTACTACATTGAATACAATTATGCCGCAAATTAATTTAGGAGTAATAATCGAATTGAAAACTGTATCATTCCATACGAACTCACAGGAAACTTTCACGTTTAAAGGACATTTCAAAAGAATTAAAACTACTTAATTGCTAATTTCATTATAATTTGCAAATAAATCTATCATTATTATTTAAGTGCAAACTACCTTCCTTTATGTAAATAAAAAGATACCAGAACAGTAAACATCGTATCTCTTCTTGCCACAGTATACTTAATATGTCAGGACATTCTTTATCCAATTTATTATATCGGTAAGTTGACAATAAATATATTTAATTTACACAAAAATGTTTCCGCGTACAAGCAGAGATTGTCTTGGTATTATTTCAGGTTGTGTCCTTTTTTATTTTTTGTCCCACTTGGACACGTCTTTGAAAGTTCCTTGTTAACATATGACTAGTATTAAACAGTAGATTGACATAACAATTGATTTTTCATAAGACCAAGACTTAGAGTAATAAGTGACAAATGCATCATGACAGCAATATATATAACGCATATATCTATCTTTTTCAAGCGTAATTTTTAACAATAAATGTTAAGAAGTTTTACAGTAAGTAAATACAAAGAAACATTTCATTTGTTATTTCCTTACAAAATGGGATCAGGATGTACATGTATTTATACCCGCCGGAACATCATTTTGGAGACCTTGAGTGATTTCGTGCCTTTAAATGAGTGGTATATCATCCCACCGTACGAATTGTCAGGTCGTTGTGTACCAGGAGTAACATATTCACCGTTTAGATTTACGTAACCACAAGTACTATACCACCATCCACCATGCAATTTTAAACCGCAATTTCTACTGACGTCATCACGATCCATGTCGAAAGTTGAAAAATGTCTACCATTGTTTAATGATAATAAATCGCCTGTATTGAAAACAAAACAATAATGTAAGTCAGTGAAACACGTTTTACTAATCTAAACATCGTTAATTTCTTGTTAATGTTAATGATGTTTTAAAATGGCTTTGCTATTGTATAGCTTGAAATATTTTTGTATATACTGTAAACAACAATTTTAATTAAAAATCGACCACGGCATGCCGCAATGTATACCTGCAGTTCCCACACCCTTGTCGATATGAAGAGTATAATACGGTATTTCACCGAGTCTAAAATTCTGAAATGTTTCGTATACGGCTTTTCCGTCAGCTGCCGTCAGATCCAGCCTCAACTCTGTTTTTCCTCGGGATACCATTTCGTAGATATTTTCCAGGCCTGAATAAAAAGTATCTTTCTCAGAACAATCTGATAAAATTTAAGCTCATATTTATATTTACCTGACTGATTAAGAGAACGTTTCACCTAATTACAATATTATTAAAACATGTTTGTGACGTCATCATTGTTATACTCGTTGACTCAGGAACTATGCAGTATTTACTCGTTATTGTACATTCAGTATTCATCAAAACAGTTCGAAATTATTTTTTGTACATGTACTTGCAGGTAAATAAAACGATGCAAACAACCATGTGCAACAATTGAAGATTTGTGGTGAAATGCTGTCTTTTCAGATACTAGAGTCTTTCCATTCCCATAAATTCACTGTAGCCAGTGAATTTGAATTTTGGTTTGTATTATAGGAACAAAGCAACACAGCTAGCTAGGAAGTGTGTACGAGCTAAAAAAATGAAAACTGTGAATTATTCAAACAATGAAACCATACCTTTTACTTTATATTTTATAACATCAATATGTATTAAAATCCCAAAAGTATAACCAATCTTGATGTTAAAATATTCCTGGACAAAATAGACTCACACAATGAAGGGGTATTTACCATGCTTTCATCTACATTTATCTATACCCCCCCCCGTAAAAAGCAAACCATTTAAATGTCAAATAAGTGAACAATAGAAGCAAGTAGTTTTCTATATCTGCATAAGATGCATACAATAATACAACTGTCCATTTTTTTGAAGTAGGAGACTTTCCTCGACCTGTTCATTCTCTCAAAAACAGCTTCTGGAGTTTTTCTTTAACTTAATATAATTTCAGACAGATAATAATGTTCAAAACATAAAGGTATTTTTTTTTATAAAAATGTAATTATATGAAAAAATATATGAAAATGATTTGTTCTATACCTGCTACCTGTTTATTTATGGGGAGGGAGTGGGTATTGTTCCAAGATAAATATATTTTCTTTATGCATTATCAAGTTAGTTGCCCTTAATCATTTTTCTCGATTCACCATATAAATAAAATAGACACATAGGGTTTGTAATATTTAGATATGCGATAAACAATGATTATATGTTTGTCGTATTTGATGCATTATAAAGGTAAACAATACCATTTAAAAAATACAGTTTGAAGTTTACGGTTGCAAAATAAACTTTACATTTTTATGTACCGTAATCTTCGCTTTTTATTCATTAGACATCTTATCAGTCAGATATTAACATTTATCGTAATGAATAGCACTTGTTCTATGCAATTTTGAACACATCCTCTGCTTTCTAATCATGCGATTTTGAAATAAATAATCTTGTTTAAGTACGAAAAAGAACGTCACGCAGGTCGAAATAATGATACATTGACGTAATTAAATTTATCTAATAAATCATTAATTATTGTCATTGGGACATTAATAATTAATTACACATTTGCATAATTTCTGGGGCAGTTCTGGTTCTAAACTTTAAAGCACACACAAATGTGACCTTCAGATCAGAAATTAAGTTGAAATGTAATAAAACCTCTAGGAAAATCTACATGTATATTTTTATGGAAGGGAATGTTCACCAGTTGCCTTATTTGTTGTCCGGAATGCTAATATGCTAATTCGTATTATATCATGATAGTTTGTACACAAACATGCTCATAAGTATGCCACTTTTCTTAATGAGACAATATTTACTCGGAATAGCATCTTTTTTCTTAATCCGTAATATCATTTTTACATGAATATATATATGTTTTATTTTATGTTTTATATTTTGTCGATGTGCAAGTTATTTCAAAAGACAATTTACCAGAAAAATGTTGTTATTTAAAACTTGTATTTTCTTTTACAAGTTTTATATAATATATTTGTTTTATTAAAACTGGTTATATGCAACATATACATGTAAACATGCAAAGGATTATTACATGCTTATAATAAAAAATCAATATTAAGACATGAGTACATTATTTTATGTATTTTCACTTGAATACTAATATACGGAAGATGACTCGTACAACCTATGAAAATAACAACCACTCTCCGAACATGAGGACTATTTCTTACGTCGTTTTTTTGTACAACAGATAACAGTGCGTTTAGGGACCGCCCAACTTAAAGTAATTAAGATTTTCTAATAAAAATATGTTCTAATATTTTATAAGAAATTGGAGCAAATACTTACAGTTGCTCGAAGGTTAAGTTCATTTTGATAAGTCGAAACTTTGAAATGTTTAAAAACATATTTATGTGATTTAAATGCGTCATTACTCCTCAAAATCCCCTTATCCTTATCACTAACACAACCGAGACAGAATTTTTCCAAAGTCTGCATACGCCAGGTCAAGGCCACTCATTCAATAGTACCAGGGATAATAAGTGGGCATATAGGAGAACTTGTTGTAATTTAGGCTCGTTTAACTAAATACAAATGAGTTGTCGTCGTGTCCTTCAACCATCAACGAACAATGAGATGGCATAGAAAAAAAAATAAGTCAAGTTCCCACTGATGACTATACAAATACCAGACTAGTAAATGTGCAGATATTCTGGCCTAATTGATTAATTTCGGCGACCTGTATAATAACAAAGATACGTCACTAGCGCAGGAATTTTATATATATATGTACAAACAACTCTCTGATATATATGCTGGGAATTGATAAATCAACAGTTTTTTCTTTACCAGATATTAGGGAAAAGCAAGAGTGGAACTTGTTGTTTCTGTGATACATGTGTATACATGTGTGTACATGTATATACGATATTGATATAACGTAAAAAGCAGCCCGTTTTAGTGCGTGCATATACATATATAAATTGAAAAAATGTACACACATATATTTTGTTTGTTTGTTTTGGGTTTAACGTGACATCGACACAGTACAGGTCATATCGCGACGTTCCAGCTTTACTGGTGGAGGAAGACCTCAGGTGCCCTTCCGTGCATTATTCAGGCACGAACGGGTACCTGAGTAGAACCACCGACGTTCTATATACACATATATACCCGGAAATGATATCTAACGTAAGTAAGAGTCCCATTCAATTTCATTCATAATTTCTATATATATATATATATATATATAAAGGGGGATAGAATTGCAATATATCAATCTTGTGCATATGCACTATTATTGCCTGTCCATCTTGGGTACATTAATGTACAATGTACCTTCAAACTGGTTTGCAATCTTAATTTTTAACAAACTGAGGAATACACATGTATGTATTCTTCATTTGAGACAGTTTGCATTCTTACTTTCCACGTATGACGGTATATCAAAACGAACTTATTGACGGTTGACGTTGGCGTGGTAATATTTACATAGGCAACGATGCTGCTCAAGCGGACATAATCATTGTAAACGGCAGCACTGAGCGACCTCTGTCCTAAGAATGACATGTTTATATACATCGATTAACAAACTGAGGAATACACATGTATGTATTCTTCATTTGAGACAGTTTGCATTCTTACTTTCCACGTATGAAGGTATATCAAAACGAACTTATTGACGGTTGACGTTGGCGTGGTAATATTTACATAGGCAACGATGCTGCTCAAGCGGACATAATCATTGTAAACGGCAGCACTGAGCGACCTCTGTCCTAAGAATGACATTTCAGATTATGATAACAGCAACATTATTATAAAGACGATATAGTTATATAATGTTTACTTTACATTAGGAATGATGATTTTATGACTCCTTGTGGGTTAAATTTGTTTATGACAATAACACAAGTCTTGCAGAGCACAATTTGTATTGTAAAATTAACTGCACATTCACAAGTCATATAATAAAACAAAGATCATGACGTAAAAAATGAAATGTAGTAAAAATTAGAATATTGTCATATTATTCTTTATTCAATAAAGAAAAATGTGATACTAATGAGCATGTTTGCATACAAACTGTCATAATAAAATAAGAATTATTATCAAAAAGACAGCAGAAATTAATTCAAACAACTGTATGGCAAATAAATCAACATGTACTCACCTAACCAAAATTCGCCGTCTAAAGAACCAAATCCTCTTTCATAATCACTAAAGTTTCTGTAGAAATCAACGCTGCCGTTGAATCGATATTGAAACACCTGAAAGAATAATACATGCATGTAATATTGTACCAGGAATTATTACAAAAATGACAAATTCAAAGCAAAATGTCATGGCTTTAATAAATCGTCGCTTGGAAACTGTATATATGTTCTATCTCCAAATTTTCCAAAATCAAGTTAAATATACAATGTTGTCCGTAATGGACTGTTCTATCTCCTTGGCATGTTATACTAGTGTTTCAGAGCTTCATAAATGAATTACAACAAAACCATCCTGTTCTAACTCCACACATTCGTTATGTTTTGATAAATAGACTGTTCTAACTTATTGGACCAATCATATCACCGATAAATGTCACGTGACCTTTGGGGGTATAGGTAACAAATTGTTATAAATCCAAAGTACCGTATCAAAACATTGCATTAAATCACGTGATGGCAGGACACCCGCCATGTTGTACGAAACATTTTGAGCTAGCTGGTTATACAACGTTTGCTGTATATATTAGTACTAAATGTAAGTATTGAATGATATTATGAATTCATAAATTAACTCCAATCATTGACATTTTATTCTTAAGTCATATGAATTAACTGCATGTGATTAAACAGCAAATAAAACTATCATGATTTGCAAGTAATTTCGGATGTGTATTTTCGGATAGAAACAACAAACAAATTCGTAAATAGGAAATGTTTATATGTTCTAAAGTTTCTTTAATTAAAGGCACATAATGTCTCAGAAACCATTTTTCTTACTTTAAAACAGGCAAATATGAGTTTGAGAAATTATAAGTAATAATTAACAGCATGCTTGATACTTTTCGTCTGAATTATACTTAGGAATGCTAAATTCTCTTTACAGTAAAAGTAGCAAAAATGTCAACAAAGCAGTATTTTGACTTCCATTCAAAATACTAAATTACTGTAACTGTACTACTTGCAAGTAAGAAACAAAAGAAATAGATTTTTTAGGTTACTGGCCAATGTGAAACTTTTTTGGAAACTATAACAGAACTCCAACTATAAAGCTTTTGAGTTAAAGATAAAAGCAATGTTGGGGCACAACGGGCCTGTTAGAAAATTTATAGATATTATGCGTTAATATAAAATTTATGTTTTAGAATGCTTTAATGTTGAATAACTAATAGATTACTTTAAAGTAAAAAACATTTTATACCAAAGTCAGAAGGAAGAACAATATTCTTATAGTATATTTAGTTTGTCTTGTAATTTGTCTTTGAATTCTGAATGTATATTTATATGACATTATGCCTGTAATGTTTTGTACATGGACAATCTTTAAATATTATAAGTCATGCCATCTACTAACTTTAAGGTCCTTTATAGCAGATATGTTTTCATTGCCTACTTAAGTTATAGCCACAATGTTTTCATTCCTACAATTAGAACAACTTCTTACGAACATAAACATAACGTGTAAAGCGCATTACAACATAATAACTACTATTTCACACTTTCGGAAGGAATTTGAATTTGACCATCTTTTAAATTTTCATGAAAGAAATTCTTGAAAGATTTTTCTAGCATTCTAGATGATTTGAAAGTTTTCCATTCCCGTTTGTGGCTATAGCTTTCTTTTTCTAGACATTGAATCAATTTTAAGGTATTAAATTATAATGGCTAAAGTTATAAAAATAGATAAAAATGTCAAAATTTATGTGGGTATTTTATCTTGATTTATTTATATTATCATTTAAATGTCATTTAATAATATACGGGATCAAAGAAAGTGGAAATAGATAAAATGTCAAAATTTGTGTGGGTATTTTATCTTTATTTATTTATATTATCATTTAAATGTCATTTAATAATATACGGGATCAAAGGGTTTTAATAAAATTTCAAATGTAATAGATGCATATGGTCTACGAAAGAGTGTGGTCTCAAAGACTACTAATCAAGAGATAATTAGCCGAGAACATTTTTGGCATCCTTTTTAGGATAAAACATACTGTTTTATGTGACATAAATCCATTCAACTTAAATACATAATGTTCTAAGTCACATTGAAGATATATATATATCTTTGTAAGCATAACCTTATTTCATTTGTATGTTGAGAAACGTAAAATCTAAACAATTTGTTATTAATTTTGATACGATAAATAATGAAAGAGAACAGTTTTGCAGTGTAAAGCATACTGCCTACAATCAAACAAAATGATTCTATATATATATTAGTTAAAAAACAACAAATATAGAGCAACCGTCCATCCTCCCGTATCTGTATCAAAGTCACAGTACACAGGTATAACACGGCTTGTGTTCCAGAGTCGTACATCGTAAATTCCACTTGGAAGTTTTCCCCTCCGCTTTTTAATGGCATAACAATCCTCGTCTGAAATGAACATCCTTTATTTCTGCATGCTTATTTCCAAATGTTCAATGTCGGGATATATTTTATCTACTAAGCTAAAAAATTCACCAATTATTGTTTTCAAAAGAAAGATTCAGAAGTAGATGCAAGTGCTTCTTTTTTAACCTTTAGTGAATAAATAAAATCATACTGCACAAGACTAACAGGCAATGAATACTACTAAAATAAAACATCAATTTAGATTTATTTATTTGTAGATATTCGTTAAAGACGATTTTAACACATTTTTGTATAATATATCGGCGGTCACGTCACATAAATGGTTTTCCTGAATAAAACACTAGTATTTTGATACTTCTACAAGTGACTGACTACTTATCCTAAATAATATCCGAGACAAATGGAGATTACACTCATGAATGTCCGATATTGTTCAAATAGAATTGGGTTTATTGCATTGAATTTTCGCGTGCACGTGCATTTTTCTTATGTAATGAACTTATTTATTTACTCAATGTGTCCCAGACCGTTCATTCTCTTTAAAAACAAATAATAGTCAATTCGAAAATTGAAATTGCAACAATACATTTGCCTCAAATATAGAGATTTTTTAAACTATATTCTATATAGATTTTACTACATGTAACAGTCTAAACTAAGAACCGAATTTTTTAATGCAATTAATGTAAAAAGTAATTATTATTGAATATGTGCATGTATAATAAGCCTTAATATAGATAGAATAATAGCCACCTTCACAAAACCCACGATAACACAGTTTAACGTCGAAGTTTTGTCCAACGCATTGCTTGCCAGCATTTGCTGGAGATGGATTTGTACAAGATCGTGTACGGCTTTGAAGTCCTACCCCACATGAAACAGGGCATTGTCCCCATGGATTCCACTCGGTCCAGCCACCATCAACTATTAAACACATAATTATGAAACAAAGTAAACTGTGATTGTAACAAACATTTTAATTCTCGGATACAGTTTTTGACCAACATTTGCTTAAAAATTGATGACAATAGCGAAAAATGAATTATTTTACAGCAACAAGGTCACCTAATGAGACAACAAAAAGTATATTTATTGTTTTCAAACAAAATGGCGCCGCCAAAGTGTCGGTTTGAAAATACAGAGAGAGGAAATTTCCACATGTTGCCGAACATTCTCCCAAATCCCAATATTGACTCCAGCCGCCATGTTCTAATACAGATATTTTTAAAACTTTAAATAAATTTTTATATCTAGTTTGTTATTATTTGTTTCATACAATTATGTGTAGTAATATTTTGCGTAGTAATATTGTAGACACTATTCAGAGTAGATAGCCATCCATTTACATCTGACTACAGGAAAAAATAGTCCCTTTTTATAACCAAATGTCAAATGTTTTTTTTCTTTTGTTATTTTTTTTCAATTGACATATTTGTCAAATGACTGCTTTGACTATTGCTTATAAGTCCTAATTGATTATGAAATATACCTTTATACAAAAATTTTGACAAAGTAATTGTAAAAAGATGTAAACCTAAAGAAAGCCAAAATTGGCAAAAAAGAGAACGTGGGAGACTAGGTTTCATTTAAGATAGATGTTTAAAAACAATATACGATAATAAACAAAAATCGTTTACGTGCAAGTCAAAAAGAAAAAACTCATTTGATTGGAATTATCATTGTATGCTTTTTTAAAGTTTCATTTAAGAAGTAAGTTCCGCATTGGCGTTTTTAAAGCCCGCTTTTATTTATAGCTCTATGTATAGATAAGGTGCTTATAAAATTGTACATCTATATTTGTACTGTCGTTAGCAATCACCCGGTGCGATCCAATTTAATAGTAAACTGTAAGAAAATAAATTATCACTATACCAGAACCGAGAATTTGAACCACAAATTACTTAATTTGGAAGAAGATATTGCGATAATCAAAGTTACTTTTAGCATAAGTCTTACCTGCACAAGATCCTCCATCGCACAATTCATCTTCAATACTGTTTCCAAAACAGTGATCCCCAAATCGATGTGGACGTGGATTGTTACAAGAACGTTTTCGACTCCGCATTCCTACACTACATGTTGCCGAACATTCTCCCCAGCCCTCCCATTTACTCCAGCCGCCATTTGCTAACATAGATATTTTCAAAAACTTATATATGTTTTATTTCTAGTTTGTTAAACTTTGTTTCATTTAATAATGCTTATTAATATTTTAGCAGTGTTTTGAATCAACAACTATTCAACTTTGTAGATTTTCATTAACATCTTTCTACAGAAAAATATACCCAAATGTCCTATTTTCTAGCAAAATGTACTATTTATGTTTTCTATATTTAATTAAAATGGGGGCGGAGAAGTAAATTAACACTATGCCTAACATTGCAAAATTTAGAAAGTTGCAGGCTCGGTTTCGTTAAAACGACATGTTGAAAAATGATTTACAATTATAAGCAAAAATCGTTATTTTCGTCTATAGCATTTAAAAAGTATTTATTTGTGGAAACCATGAAAAGTGTGTACATTTGTTTACTATATTCTTAATGAAAAGTTTATTCATGTTGTCAAAATCCAGGTCTATATATAGCCCTAAATACAAAATCAGTGCTCATAAAATGTTATTTATATATTGCCGTGTCGATTGCAACAACCCTGGTGCGATCAACGCCCCATGTTTAACTATTGTTAGAACAAAACATCATTGTACTACTGCCTAGAACTTTAATATATACTAGTAATTTAGAAGAAGGAAATGTGATATCAAAAGCTTTTTTTGAAAAATTCTACCTGCACAAGATCCTTTATTGCACAGTTCATCTTCAATACTGTTACCAAAACAGTGATCCCCAAATCGATGTGGACGTGGATTGTTACAAGAACGATTTCGACTCCGCATTCCTACACTGCATGTTACCGAACATTCCCCCCAAACATCCCATTGACTCCAGCCACCATGTGCTTATACAAATTTTGTTTTAACTATATATTAATTTTATTCCTAGTTTTTATCTACTCAAAGTAGATACCCATTCATTCACGTCTAATTACAAGAAAACATACGCATAGTTACTTCTTTAAAGCAAAATGTACAAATGATATTTTTTATTGATATATTTATTAATTATAAATGACTGATTTTTACTATTTATATAATAAGTTTTAATTGATCAAGGAATATAGCTTTACAGGAACATTTAACATTTAACCAAGACGGCGAAAATTAGAAATATGCAGGTTCGGTTTCACGAAAATGACATGATGATACGCAAAAATCGTCATTTTCGTCAAAAGCATTTAGAAATCCTTCATTTAAATTGGACCATTATTGGAATTTCGAAAACTAAACCAAGTGTGCACTCTTTTAACTTTGATTATTTTAAAAAGTTATTTCCACATCGGTGTTTTCAAAACTCAGTCGATTAAAAGCTCTATATATACATCAGGTGTTCATAAAATGTTTATTTATGTTTGCATTGACGATTGAAAACACCCCTAGTTGCCTCACTTCTCATGATTAACTGTTAGAAGTTACAATAAAATATCACTGTAAATGCATTTCTAAATTTCAAACAAGTTAGTTTGCTATAGGCTAACGATTATTTGGCGTTTACTGTTTACCGATTTCTGCTACATTTTTTTATGAACTGAATGTCTCTTTGTCATACTGTAGTTTCTTAGTCGAATTTTAGGAATTGGAAAGAAACTTCATTTCACTCAAAATGAAACTAACCTCTAGTACATATACGACCTAGATTGTTAGAAAATGGGTCTTTAACATAATTCATCGACACTAGAGATAAATGCAAGCAAGTGTTCTCGTCCGCTTCTATTGGCTTCAACATAATACAATATTTAATCATGAAAACGAGTATACTTTCAATAAAGAACCCTTTACAAATGTGTTATGTTTATATGGCGGTTATCATGGAACATTCAATTTTAAAAGTACGTGGCATTTACTGAATAGCGGCGTATGCTCCCGGAGTGAGATGAATGCGTTTTCCATAAACAATCATGTTTTAATCCTTTTCAATATTAATCAATGTTTTCGAGCTTTGTTAAAGTAACCACTTCATTGTTATGAATTTGAGGAAAATAGTATCTATGATGAAAGAAGAACAAACAAACAATTTGAAAACAAAACGTAAACAAATACTTCTTGACTTTTTGAAAATCAATATACAGTTACCAGGACATAAATGCGCAAAGCATTGTTTCTTATCAATAGCATCTCCTGGGCATTCAAGACCACCATGTTTAGGTGCTGGACTGTCACATTCACGATGACGTATGAGTGAACCATTCCCACAGGTGACGTCACATTTTGCCCACTCCGACCATTTAGACCATTTTCCGTCAACTGGAAAATTTCGTTGCATTTGAATTTATTTGTGAACCCAACCATGTATTGTTTCAATATTGGTAGGATATTTGGCAATACAGTCCAACCTCGGTTATTTAAAGTGCCTGGGACTAAAAATTTACTTCGAATAATCGATAGGTTCGAATTATCGAAATCGGAATATTGTATTAGACGAAAACTACTCCACTTTGACCAATCATAGCAAAACTACTGTTTACAACACTTACTTCATGCAATCAATTGAGAAAAAAAATATTCAAGAAAAGATGCATAAAAATTCTTTTATTGGCATTGAAGACATAAATACATTTTATTCTACATTATGTATCGTTTCGTTTTATGCAAAGCCTTGATAATGACCGTGTTTTCACTACGGTATTCACAGCTAAATTCTGGTATTTTCGATAAGAGTATAGGCTCTCATGTAGCGTTACAATTAATGAAAAAAATGTTTTGGATGTTTTGGCAAATTCAAATATAAGGAATGTATGAAAATTATTGCTGTCATATTCAAGCAATAACAGTAATAATATCGGACACGGTGCATAGCTTTTCATTTTCGGTAATTAAAGTTGATTAAAGAACACACAAAGCGTAATTATCATGATTGTCTAAACAAATGCGTGACTGCTAATATTTTTCACAAGTCGACCGGTCAGCGAGTGGATCTGCGCCAAATAAGTCTGGCTTCGAATAATAATTAGTCTGGCTTCGAATAATAGGTGTGAAATTCTTTCATAATTGTATAATCGGGACCGAAATTTTAATTTAAAAAATAGGAGGTATTCGGATAATACATTTCGAATAATACACTTGTATTTATATTGATTTATATAGAGATAAAAACGGGACCGCCGATCTACTTCGAATAATGCCGGATATTCGAATAAAGGGTTGTCGAATAATCAGGATCGACTGTATATTGTTAGTAATTTTAAAAATCAAATTCCATGTTCTAATGATTGGCTTTAAATCTACAAAATTAGTTTTATTTATTTCAAATGTTTGTGAAACAAGGTTTAACACCAACTTTTCTATATCTGAATCCTAACAAAAATTCTATGATACGTACTGGTGTCAATAATCTATTCATCAAACATAGATAATACGTTATCTAATATAGATATTATTTTTTTTATTTTTATGCAAACAAAAACGTCACGAGTCACACATTTATACAACGGTTCCCTAAGTATCACACATTTATACTCACCTATGTGACAGAGATTACAGTATTTCCGACAAATTGTTTTAGCCTCGTTTGCATCTGCACAAATGCTGATTTTTGAGTGAAGAAGAGCACACTCTACAGACTCGTCTTTGCAAACTGTTATAGATAACACGGCCACAGTCAAAGAGGATATTAACTTTTAATATTTCATTTTAAGGCTATTAATATAAAGGAATTGCATTTTTATGAGTTTAGAATGAATCATTTTCTTACCTTTGTGATGTTAGATATATTTATTATGTTTCGATCTGGTCAACCTTGAAGCCAGTAAATTATAATGGATGATATTCAGGACTGTATTAAAGTATAGTTATTGAATCTTCAGCAAAACAACACAAAATACAGATAATGTAATACTTACAGATCCTGGTCCGATTATCCTAAAACAATAAAGCTTGAATGTACCATATCTTTAGAAAGAAGAGTCAAAATTGTTTCGTTACTATTACTTCTAAATGTTAATAAGTTCAAACTACTATTTCCTTTTCACTGTTGATTTTTGTGGGTCATTTTGAATATTTTTTTCATGCAGGGTTAATAACAGTTTACCTGAAAGTTTTTCACACAAATGTTTGTTACAATTGTTTTGAGAACAGCATTCAAAACAGGAATCTGCTTGAAATGGCTCCGATGTATTTTTTGGCTGTGAGCTGCTTTCCGCACATTTCTGTTAAAAGATATACAAGTTTTATCAATGCTAGCTGATGAAAAGTATTACTATATGATAACAAAACGAAAATAAAACTAGATACCAAGGCTAGCAATTGACAAGAATACCATTTATCAATAGTTATGTTAACAATAATCATTTGTACCCTGTGACATGTTGTTATTGCACATTGGTTTATTTAAGTCTGAAACATTTTAATTATCAGTTTTAAAGAAGGCTTTCATTATAAGAAACATGTCTTAAAATCTTACAGGTTTGTCAGCGCATCCAAAATCGTACATAATCTGACCGGTATATCCATGACTTTTGTAGCATACCTGATATAATAAAATAGTATTTATAAATTTCTATTAATGCTGGATGGAGCATACGAATACGATCTATGTATAGTTAAAGAAAAATGTATAATATTTGAGATTATATATTATTTATTTCTAGATATTGAATACATACGACTTACACTTATGAACAATTTACTGTTTTTGTCTGTTTTTGTTGTTGTTTTTGTTGGGATTTATATTATTATTGTGTTGATTTTTTTTAAAGAAACTTAATTTGTTTACAAGTTTTTGTATAGTAGTAATGTCCAAACACAAAGATACAGTTTTAGACTATAAATTATCACTTTATATATTATTAATATGCATTTGCTGGTGAAAAGTGATACCTGTCCATCGTTGCATGTGACAATGGTGTTACATTCGCTCACGTTAGAACAGTTGAAACATTCGATAGATACTGAAAAAATAAGATAGCGGGTACGTATGGACATTGCAAGTGTGAATAACTTCGTCAAATCTAATTGTCACTTTCCAGTCATGTGCATGAAACTGGGGGCGTTTAATATTTAGCAACTTTTAAGGTCCCTCTCTTAGAATATACGCATTTTATTCAAACTACGAAAATAAGTTAATGTGTGCCTTTAAGATATGCAAGTTATTTTGGGTTCAAGGGGGTCCTACTTCCTATGAAGTGGAATTTACTGACAGAACTTGTGTTAATTGTAAAAAAAGATTTGTTTAGGAATGGCATGTTCCGATATGTTCTTGATTTGCAAGAACAAACCAATTGTTGACCATTGCATCTTTACTATAACAAGTAACATTTCCCATGTGTCAAAATGTGCATGATTTTATGGATTTAGTTATGTTAACTAACGAGTTTCACTAGAAACGCACTTTATTCCAATCATTGAATTTTTATAATAACAATACAGTTATTTTACATATTCCAAGAATAACTTTAACAGAAGAAACTGTATAATATATTAATATGTCTTTAATATTATGTTATTTATATACATATTTATATACATATTCCTTTGTTTAAGAACGAAGAAATTTAGGTTTTGATCATTTACTTTTTGAAATACAGTCAACTAGCATTTGCCCATCAATGCATTTGAATGAAATAATTCAAGTTCTAATTATATTCTTATTTTAACAATAAATAAACTTACATGAACCACTAATTGTTAGTATAAAGAGCAGCAATACTTTACAAATGTCTGAAAAAGAACAAATATAAAACATATGTATCATTACGTTAAATACTTCGTCGATAAATGAAATGCATTGGATTTATTTCAATGAAGTTTTTAATAAAAACTCAGAATATTTAATTATGTATTTCGTTTTTTCAAATGAGGAAAATGTAGTTTTGTTTTGACCGTGATACACTTTAAAACCATCTATTATAAAGCTTTCTTATTCATTAAAAACGTTATCAAATTAAAGCTATAAAACGTCGTTGTATAACATGTACAGTAACATAATTGATTCTTCTACTATAATATGCAAGATATTTTTGAAGAAGAAAAAACAACATGTTTTCCCTGCTTATTTGTATTTATTGCAATGGATATTTTTACTCAGCGGACTGTAAAAACTTTAAATCTTTTGTCATGGTTAACTTCAAGAAAGAAGAATTTCACAATATTTAGATGTTTAATCAAAATGCGCAAGCAATGTTACATACATACATACAGACAGTTCATATTGAAAATTAATTTCACAATTATGAAACAAAACATCGACGCTGTGAAAGTCAATTTACGATTTTAAAAGAGTAACTGCTTCAGGAAAACGCCTATTGCATCTTCATGCATAATTTGGTTCTTCTGACTTCAACTGCTACTCCCCGTAATTTATATAAACAACTGTCAATAAAAAATTCAAAACTAACTGTGATAACCTTTGAAATAGTAACATTGTCAACCATGTTATAATAATCTATCATTTTAACAATGAAAAGAAAAAAGAAATGAAAACAAACAATAAAATATTTTAATCTGTTTTAACTGATTTGAATTAAAATCTAAGTGAAGAATTAACTAGACACCGAGAATGATAATATGTTAAAAACTTACAAAGCAGCAACATGGTTCTTTAAGTTTACCAGGTCACCGTTGTAATTATTCTCCTCTGTAAGTATAACAACGATGTTAAATGTTGTGAGACATTAATCTTTAAAGGGCCTTCAAAGTATTAAAAAAGTTATGTGTGTGATCAAATATATAAACCAATGTGCTACTTACCACCATGTATTATTGAATAGAATAGGAAAGACATATGCAAATGCTTAATTTACCAAATTTAATTTGGAGAATGATGAACAGTAATGAACTATGTAAAGATTCAATCAGGATGTAAGATTTTATTTCAAGTGATCACCAACTGTCGTCCAGAAACGTGTTCGCTAAGAACATGATTAAGTTTAGGATGAAATTAAAAACTTCAAATAATTAATGTCCATTGTTTATACAAAAAGCTTCAATGTTTAATATTAACTTGACAAAATTGGTCTTGATAAAGCATGTTTAGGACATTTTAGAATACATTTGAAATAAAATTGTTGTTAATTTTGCAAGTTATTGGCATTTTACAGTTGATCAAAATATTGCTCTTGGTCCTTAAATTAGTCCATAATTTTTATCCGATTATTATACTGGTTTTGTCACACGTCGATTGTATGTCGAAAAAGGGTTGTTTACTTAAATCATTGCAAATAAGCCTTTTTACAATTTTGTTTATGAACCATTTATCTTACGAAAATATGATCAATTTTAGATTAATTCTAAAACAATCAAACTATGAAAAGAACTTTTCGATTCTGATTCTGATCTGAAAATACGGGGACAGACATGCACGGATATAACTGTTTTTTTTACATATTCTGCCGTGTAATTAAATCAAAACTAAACTCAGAGATAAATATTAAAATTAAATCAATAATGATAAAACCTTTTCTTTTTTTTTTTGAAGATGTGTTAAAGTTAGCAAATTAAGATTATCTTTCCAGTTGGTTGCTTACGGATCATGATTGCCTTAAATAATGCAAGCAGGGTCATCTTCGAATTTCTTAAAACTGGAAAGTTTGCTATATAGCCTAAAACTGTATAGACGTGACATAAAAACTTCAAATAATTTTTTTTGTATCTTTTGTTCTCCTTTATCCCGGGGAACTTAACAAATATTTGCCATAATTGTCTATAGTGTTTATAATTAATATATGTGTAAGGATAATAACGTTAGTTACATTATTTAATTTCGTGTGTCGATAGCAGCGAATTTATTACGTTATAATTCGTATATGAAGGCAGGTAACTGTAATGAGTTTCGAATGTTATGCACAAATATGAATCAATTTTGAAACTCTTGTATGAGCGTATAAGTGATTCTAGTACTTAAATTGTACATTAATTATTTCATTGATATCATATATTTACTAAAAACAATTAACGTCTGAATGCAACATACTACAATATATATACCAGTTTGCAGTCATAGTATGTTTTCTGTTATATGAAATATCCATATTAAAAAATGTAGAATTATAATAAAAAATTCTTACAGGAATGAGAAAGATGAACAAATTTAAATCAACAGGTAATATGCCGTTTTTCCATAAAAATAATGTAACGTATTGAAAGCATTGTGTAAGGTTCTCCGCGGTTTAACTTATTCTTGCATATCAGACTGGCGTTGTCGCTAGTTTTACCCATGCCCGAAATTTCATCTGTCATGGGGGTGCCATATGAGTCGCGTGCTGAACAATGACATGCTTAGGATGATGTAATTTTAACATTATGAATGAATTTGTAATTTCATACGCTGTTGTAAGAAAAATGTTACGGGTGTAATAAATCTCCATTGAAAATTGTTTTACGAATATTAAGGCAACATATTAAAATATCATGGAATATGGTAGAATATGCAACATTTTATTAGACTATATAATCAGTTCCAGTATTTCTTCTGAACAAAAATATATGATTTTTGATTTGTACACGCTGTGTTTATAATTGTTTTGAAAAAAATAAGTCAACTGTTGTAAAGAAACATCAAATAGAAATGAATAAATAAATTGTAAACTAAGTACTTACAGAATAAACATCCCGTGTTGTTGTGCTGCTGATAATATCAAGGAGTAAAATGATTTAACAGGTATATTATCGCATTATTGGAATACAGATATTCTTTTAAGAGGAAAGCGCAGAGCAACTTCACTAGCGGCACGATTTGTATATATTTGCCAGTTAACGATTTAAACTTGGCTTATAATTGTAGAGAATAATTACCGAGTAAAAAGTACTGTTTTGCTATGCCATTGATCATAATAAAGAGGAAAATGATAAGAATAGATCGATTTAAACAATGGCTTATAAAGTTTGTATTTATTTAATACTTTTGTGTGGGTTACTGATGTATCCGTGAAAACTATATTTGATTATTTCACAGTGAAAATTATGAAAATGTTTTCACAATTTTCAATGAAGATACTACTTTTTAAAGATTTTCCCCATATAGTACTTCACTTTTATTTTTGCTAACAATTCTGATATATCCAGAGCTGTTTAGAGCAAATCAAAGGTGAAATTGATAAATAACTTGAAATTGAAACTGAATAAAAAGATTTAACTAACTTCAATTCAATTTATCGATCACCAAAGTCGTGTCTACTGATTCGTCTCTACGATTTAATTTCTTCCATTACATTTTTATAATTGCTCTTCCTTCATCATGCGAAAATGCTCATGGTGACATTTGGTCATTTTTAAGTACCCTACAAACAAAAACCCAAAAACTGTGCAAAGTCAAAAAACAGTCATCTCCCGAAAAATAATTAAATAACACAGGATTTATAAGACAGCCTTTCAATAGCTTCCATTTTTCTCAAATTTCTAGTCAGTTCTTGAATGTGCACATATCAACAATTATTGTCTGAAGCAATCCACGAATAAGTTTTCTTGCTTATGATAGATGTAAAATTATCAAATAAAAATGAAACCCTTTCGAATCAAACACATTTTATTTTTTCCTTGCTTGAATTAAACAATTTTTGAAAATGGCGGTCGTGATAAAGACTTTAATATATCATTCCGCTTTATAAGTATATATAACATAATTTAATTCGGCCTTGTATAACTCTTTTCATCTTTTTGTAATGTTCATTATAATGATTAAACAAGCGATCATTAAAATAAATGTTTTTGTTTAAACTAAATAATACCATCGCTATCTTATATTGATTTTCAGCTCAAGACTTCTGATATTAATATGTGAAATTCATCTGAAATTGAGGCTACGAATTGGGAAAACAGATTTTTATATATCAGTAAACATTATTAAGAAATTTCATTCAAACTTAATTTTAGAAGAAAATTTAAAACACAATGTTTTTCTTATGCAGGATGTAATTTTATTTCATCTCGTGAATTTAAAAATACTGTTTTTAAAGCTAACTCGATAAATAAAATATCATCTTACAAACAAACACATATCCTCTACATGTCCGTTAGGAATCTTAACTAAGCGATAAGTTTACTCCTTGAACAGAACAGGAAATATCCTAACTATACGAGTTATCGCCGATTTTATAAATTTTAAGTTTAAAGCTAACGACACATTATTCACTATTGAAATAAGTTTATATCATTAAAAAGCAAGTACAAGAATGCGCATTAATGTACACAATAAGGGTTTTAAATTACAAAATATAATAGATGATATTTGTTTGCTTGTGTGTAAGATGAAATTTTATTTCATCGAGTGGGCTTAAAAACAGTATTCTCACGAGTGGCATACACAACAAACAAACACATTTTTTATATTTAATGCTTAAAAACAAGTTAAAACGAAATTTCCTTAATATTAACTTAACCCATTACACGATAAACACGCCTTTTAAAGCCCTTTTTATCCCCCCCCCCCTTTTTGATGTCTAAAATGGTCAAAAAATGCCTTATTTAAGCCCCCAACACTTGTTTTTGTTTGAAAAATGTTGTTAAAAAAGCGACCACTTTTTCGGCGCGCCCCTATCCAAAAGATATATCAAGGGGTTGCCTGAAGGGGGATGTGCCCCCTTCTGTTTGGGGTTGTTTGAAGGGGGGGGCAGAATCCCCCTCATCGCCAAGAAACTTTTGGACTTGTGAGAGGCTAAAAAATACCCCATTGAAATGAAGGTAACTTGTAACCAACGCTCAAAAGCCTTTGACTCTGTCTCAATCCAGTAAGAAGTTGTAGCTTTTTGAAATCAATTTTGATGGAAAAAATCAACGCAAAATAGTGATTTTTGGCAATTTTGAGATGTCCCCTCGTTACCATGGTAACAGGAAATTTAGGACTGAGCACGTTGTTACAAAGTCAATTGTCCAGTCAACATTTGTGCCAAGTTTGATTAGTATTGAAGCAGTTTTTATAGTTTTATAGCAATTTGAACTTGTAACGGGAGACTTTTCAATGAAAAGAGCCAATTTTTCACTAAATGCTGGTTAATATTAAAATCTATTTTCCCAATTGGTAGCCTCTTTTAGTCGAATTTGTCATTAAATACAAGAAGTCTTGGGCTGAAAAATAAGTTCTATAATCAACGTTAAATGGCGGTGATATTATTCATTTTATTAGAAAAAATATGAATGATTGCTTGTTCAAATGAAACAAAATTCTTGTAGGAGAAAAAGTCAAACCATTTATCCTTATTTCTGTTACTTACGGCGAATTTATATTAGACCTGGCTTTGTGAAATGTAAGCGGCTGCCATTTTTAAAGGTTGTGTATTTCACAGGAGGAAAAAACATGTGTTTGATTCAGAGGGATATCATTTGGATTTGTTAGTCATACACATTTTTAGAAGAAAGAAAACTTATTTGAGGATTGTAACAGACAATAAATAAGTGTTGACATTCAAAAAGCGGCTAGGAAATTAGAAAACATGGAATTGTTGAAAGGCTGCCTTATGAACGCTGGGTTGTTTACTTAATTTTCGGGCTGATGGCTGTCATTGCTTTTCCAGTTTCCATTAAGCATACGGCAGTTATTGCTCATAGGATACTTAAATATACCCAAATGTCATCAAAAGCAGTTTTGCATGTGGAAGGAATGTATTTTTCAGACTGTAAAAATGAAACAAAAACATGGAGACGATATTTAGTGATTTGTAATTTGAATGAATAAAAGTATGTTTTCTTCTTTTTATTACATTTGACATTAAAATTTCAGCTTTCCTTTGTCTAAACAGCCCTGAAATTGTCAGAATTGTCAGCAAAAATAAAAAATTGAGGTACCAAATTGAAAAATCTTAAAAAGTAGTTTCGTCATTGAAAAGTGTGAAATTATATTTTTGTAATTTTCACTGTGTAATTATCAAATATAATTTTCACTGATAAATCAGTAAACCACTGAAAAGCATAAAATAAAAACTAATAATCAATTTACCTGTTATTATTATAATTATTGTTATTATTATTATCATTATTATTATTATTATTATTATTATTATTATTATTACGTTTATTATTATTAGTACAATTATTATAATTGTATTGCGAAGCAAACATATCCCGTTATTTTTGTTTGTGGAAGATTACATCTTTTTATTTTGATAAGATGGTCACAGACCTGCACCTTAATGTGTAAAATTATCATAATATAACGTTTCTGGAACGTGCTGTATCAGTCATGATATTTGTACTACTTTTTTCGATGAAGAATAAAATATCTCTCGGTAAAACTCTATGATAATTGGAGGATAAAATTTCAACTATAGCAGAGTAAACTCTGGCGGATTTAATCACTATAAAATTTAATGTTGGAAATGGCAACTTACATCTAAATTGTTTGTTTCCTTTAAATAAAGCATGCTTTAAAAATAAAATCTTACAGTCTGTTTATCAAAATAAAAGAGACATCATGAATTATTATGAAATGCAATAACTTGCTGCTGCTCAATCCAATAAGAGATCATAAAAAGCGGCATTTGTTTAGATTAGCTTCCTTCTCAAGCGTGAATGTATTTAACAGGTATAGATGATTATTCTTCATTTTTTACGTCGCGTTGTGTATTTTTGTTCCTTTTCATATAATATTTAATTTCAATAATATTTTATATTTCTTGTAATATTCAAAACATTTATACGAAGCGATGTACAAATTATTAAAATGGCGTAGAAGTCTTGGATAATGCCTTTTGCAGTAGGTCGACAACAATGGAATTATTCAACACGCCAACATCGTTAACAAAAGAATTACTATTTCCAGCACGACAACTTGTTTTAAAAAGTCCGCTTAATGTCTGGTGAGCTTTATATCCTCTAGTTTAATATTTAACTATTCAATTCAGTAATTGCATTTTTTATGATAATTAAAATTGACAAATTAGAAATGAAAACATTATATTTTAACGCTACCAGGCAATCGTCAGTTCAATTCATATTATCCACCAAATACAAATTTTAGCATTGTCCTTATTTTTGCGCTCATCACACGTGAGCTAGAATTACGATTAAGCGTTCCTTTACCTTACAAACTTTAGTCAGAGATTGTAAGCTTGATACGTCGTGTTTATATGGTATAATTGTACACCGATACTGTTGTTTATTTTGATTAAAATAAATTAACAAGTGAGGGCGACAGCAAAACCCTTCTTTTTAGCTACGTTCAAAACGCCCAATATTCAACGTACGGGTTAAACCTGGTATACCTGTTTCACACTGGAATGGTAAGTGCTATTATTTGTGACAAAATGTTTTCAAACATTCAGTTATTTAGGTTTTTACTAATTATGATGATATGCTAAAATATGGAGGACGAAAAATTTAGTCTGATAACTAGTGAGAGAAAAAAAAGTTTGATTAAAAACTAAAGGGATTATAATTGTATGGATTATTGATGGAATTTATAGATAAGGATACTTAGTAAAGAATTAATTATTCAATTAAACAAATAGTGATGTTCATTAGTGTATGGCGCCGGAAAACAGGTAAATGAAAAGTCTTGTGCATCATCTGATTCTATCATACAAAGTCCTGATAAAAGAAATTATAGAAATTTAGCTGGTCAGAATTAGACTCAGGTTCGTTTCATCCCTCAAATTCCTATCTATCAAGGAAACAACACTGGACACAATTCTTCTCCGACAAATCATATGTTCATGACTTCCAATCACACAGCTGCCACAAATACTCCCCAGTCTAAGCTACTTCTGCGGATTTTGCATTGCATTTTGAAATGTTATCAAACAAGATTGACTTAAAATTT